TCACCTCCAGCACAGCAGAAAACTAACCGCGTCAATGACAAAAAGGCAGCAAGCTGAAAGCAAGGGGTGGGGGGAAGAAAGGGAAAAGGCAAGTGTTTTGTCCAGCCGAGTAGCAGTCTGGCATTAATTATCCCAGCTAGCAGGAGTTCATTAACTTCGCCTCTGGCTGGGGGTGAATCCTATTCATTAGCCCACTGTTCACTGTGAGATTATGGCTCTCAATGGAGATTGCTGCACTCTATCCCTGTGTTACTCTCTGAAAAGCTACCCAAAGCAACACATACCCGCAAACAATCAAGGTGCAGAATAAACTCACTAATAATCAGAACCATCTTCACTTCTGTCAAACTCAAGAATGCCAGGGACATGAACACTGTAATTGGATGAAGGCTGTGATGGATTCATTCTTGGTGCTTCAGAGCAGAATGTTGACCATATGACTTCAGGCAGACATAAAGTGTTATTAAATACAAAAACATATTTGTTTAGTAGCTATCACCTTTACATACACTGTATATGTAGAATGTACAGCAAAAGTATAATATTAGCAAGGATGAAAGTATCTTGATAATCATGCTCAATCACTGTTCAGCCTGAAATGATGATTGTGCTTCAATTTTAGGTTTCTTGAACTGGCATATTGGAGAAATACTCACATTTAAACAGCCTTGTTGTTTATTCGGCAACTACATCAATCTCATTCACACTTGCTACCATTTTTTCTGTTGCTATTTTTCTTAAATACGGCTAGGTAGTGGACATCACAAATTTTAATCCTGCCTACAATACCCTGACTGGATAAAGACAATAAATAAAAAGCCCACATGCCACCTTTGGGTGGTTGAAGTTGAGTTAAATTGGACGCCCTCTACTGGCTGTGATATGTAATGACTGTTGCAAAGCTGATCAATGTCCAACAAAATGGTTAGCACTGTCGCCTCACAGCAAGAAGGTTGTGGGTTCGGGCCCAGGCCAACCTGGTGCCTTTCTATGTGGAGTTTGCATATTCTCCTTGTGCCTGCGGGCACTCTGCTTCCTCGCACAGTCCAAAAACATGCATCTTATGTTGACTGGCAACTATAAATTTCCTGCGGGTGTGCGTGGTTGTCTGTCTCTTAGCCACCCCACCCCCCAGCAAAATGCCACCATACCTCTAGCATTCTCCCACTTCCCTTCCTCACCCGCTATTCAAGTGTAGTGGCCTGAAGGGCAGAGTTTCATCATTCTTTGAAGTGTTTTCATGGTAATAATAAGGCTAAGAAAAATGATGTCAATGCAGGTGTAAATTAACACAATCCACCAAAAATCTTGAAAAGTCAGATACCCTGGCCTCTTCCTGCTATCTCAAACTTCCCTGTGAAAAGAGACAAATGACCCATTCTGTGGAAGAATAAAGTCCATACAACAGCATTACTCTGGGGGACTCTCAAGGGGCCACTACAATGTGCAAGATGAAGGTCATGTGACTGAGGGGGAGCAAGCTCTTGTGCTAGTGACCTTCTCCACCAGCTCAATTGCCTTCTTATAACAAAAAACTAAGAAGCAGAGTTGGCAAGGTTATTCAAAAGTAACCCATGCATACCTTAGACTGTCCATCTATCATGTGAATCATCTTGGTCTGTCTCTTCTGCCTCAGTGAACCTGCTCCTGTTGTTTTGCACACCTTGCAAACATGCTGCAATATAATCATACACTCTTAATCTTATCTGGCTCTGTCCTTAATAATATTTTCTTCCTTTATAACAACTCAGTCATCCCCAAAGGGGTGATTAAAAGGCAGTGGGTTTGCATCTTTTAGCCAATTAGTTACAAAGAGCATAAAATTTACATGAGTACCCACTGTTTTTCAAATGCATACCATCAGTTTTAAACACATTTCTCACCCTCCAGGTAGCTGTTGAATTGAATTCATTTCACCACAGTCTGAAAATATAATCTCATTTGAAACTCACTTGAAATTTCATATCTGAGATTCAACTGTCAGCTTTTGAATGCAAACTTATTTGATGTAACAAATGACTAAATTAACTTGATTCTTTTTATAAAACCTATTCACAGTGAAGCCTCGGGATAAGGCAGGGCACTACAGTTTTAGTTCTGGTGCTGAGCATAGTGTAATGGCCACCCTTGCTTTATACTCTATTCTGTATTTGATAATGAGACTTCTAGTGTTGCTTTTGTCAACAAAAATTATGACTAAATGACGTCGTCAACGAACCTTTATCGCGTGACGAAAACGAGATGAGACGCAACGAAAATGCTGGTCATGTGACGATGACTATAATTAAATATATAATGCAATATTGTTGACGATAAAAAACGAGACGAAATGTTATAACGTTATTTCGTCTCGTTTAGTCGTGTTATTATTATTATTTTGCAGTATTTCTGTTTCCTGTGTCTCGCTTCAGGGGCCGCATCAGACGCGTCGCACTGCGCAGACGCAGGCGACATCACTTCCTTAACCACCACTCGCGGAATTATTGAGAAGACGACAACAAACAAAGTTAGGTCTGACACAGAGAAAGGGATCGATGGCCGGCCAGCCGGGGTTTGTCA